AATTCAGATTTTGGATTTTCAGATTTGGAATGTTCAATCCTCATAACCTGCTATTCATCTAACATGTTATACAAGTTGAGTATCACTTACTCAAAATGCTTGGGACCAGAAGTATTTCAGATTTCAGATTTCTAGCTATGTGATCTTGGCAACTTGCTTACAGTCTCCATACATCAGTGTTTTTACCTAAACCACAAGGATAATTAGTAGTATCTACCTATCTCACAAAGTTGTTGTGAGAATTAAATAACACAAGGCCCACACCGTCCTTGAAGTGAGAGAGCCATCTCTAGGTCCTTGAACCCACCACAGGGCCTTCTCTCCTGCTGTTCCCTGTCCCCAGAAAGTTCTTCTCCCTTCTATTGGCCTGACTGGCTCCTTCTCATCCTCCAAGACTCAGCTTAAATAATTCCTCTTAGAAGGGTCTCTGTCTAATCTACCGACAGCTGGCTCTCTCTTGATTATTGATCTTAGCACTGTTTGTAGTAGTCTCCTTATTTTATAACTTTTTATGCTTCTCCCACTATTTTATAAGTTCCATAAGGGCCTGAATCATGTTTGTTTATGCAACACTGTGTCCTGATCACCTGGTATAGTAGCTGCCTCAGAGCAGGAGCTCAACAAATATTGCTATATGAACAAAGGATTGAAGGAATGAATACAAGAGGCTTTTATTATATTATTAATATCATTGTCAAGGACTTGTACTGAATTGACTTATTACTCTCCTGTTTCACAAAACTATTCACTTCATTTTTTAAAATGTTAAGATTAAAATGTCATGATTAGTAATAACATATGAAATAATTACAGTAGGATATCTGGCTGAGCATCGACAACAATGTTTGGGGAACTGTATAAAGCCTAGAATTTGCAGAATTGCACAGAACTGGGCAGCCAGCCATCCTGGAATATGCTCACAGGATGTATGGCCTGGAAGATCTCATTCGAGAAGAGCGGGGCCTGGCAGTCATCCTCCTGCACCTCAGAAGCTGTTGGGTACCATGCTGCGGGGGAGCATCTCTAATGCAGAGGCTCTTCTGGGCCCATGGGGTCGGCCCTGTTTATAGACTCTAAAAGAGGAGTTTTGTTGTTGGTTCACTAGCAAAGCAGGGCCTGGCAGTCATCCTCCTGCACCTCAGAAGCTGTTGGGTACCATGCTGCGGGGGAGCATCTCTAATGCAGAGGCTCTGTTGGGCCCGTGGGGTCGGCCCTGTTTATAGACTCTAAAAGAGGAGTTTTGTTGTTGGTTCACTAGCAAAGCAATATTTTGTTTTGAAAAGGAAACTATGGTTAAAGTATATTTGCTTTTAAAATATAAGATTAATTTTTAAAATAATATTCAGGGATACAAGACAAATGCAAGCATACAGTCATTATACCTGGGACCATATTGTTAAAATATTTGTGTTAACAAGAAAGCAAACTTTTTAACATTATTTTTCATACTCTGCTAGGAGAAAGAATATTGAATTGAAAAGGAGAAAACATGTACTGTTGACAATAAACTGAAGTTCAAGGTGGCCAAAAAGACCCCAAGAGCTCTTTTATTTTACCCAGCTACTTAAACTATGCCCAAGTTTTCAAAATAACTCTCTGTGATTTTTTTTAAATCATGTATAATGATAAGAGGATAGGAGCATCTGCAGACCTGAATNCTGTGATTTTTTTTAAATCATGTATAATGATAAGAGGATAGGAGCATCTGCAGACCTGAATTCGAGATTGTGACAGATTCTGCAAGCTGCTGGCCAATGAGTTGGATGCCAAGACAAGATATTAAAGTGGATCATTAAAAGGATCATGTGGGAAGAAAGTGGGACCAGGAGATGCCAGTTTGCATACAGGCTAACCTTAAATTGATATGGCAGACTTTATACATCTGGGCTTTGTCATAAAGGCTTTGATGAGGTGTCTCATAATATTTTTTGAAAAAAGGTGGAGAAACAAGGGCTGAATGATATAGTGTATTTAAGATATATTTCTGTAGCTGAAGAACTGCACAGAACATGACGACGCTCACCTGAGAGCATGTTTCTAGTCCTTAGCACTGCCACTGCTGTCCTTTGCAATATTTCTAGCACTTTTAATGAAAATCTTCTAGGAGAAAGGTAAGCAAAATTTTTTTCTGTGAAGACCCATATGGCAAATATCTTAGGCTCTGTGGGCCATTTACAGTCTGTTACATTTTTTCCTTTAAAAAAAATTGTAAAATTTTATAACCATTCTTAGTTCAAGGGCTGCATAAAAGAAAGTGGCAAGTCATATTTCCCTAGGGGTCATAGCATGCCATCTCCTGTGCTAGAGCTTATCAACTTGAGGATGACATGAGAGAGAATAAAAACATTGCTTGACA